TTATATATATATATTAAAAATAAATATAAATATACATATATATCTATATATTAAAAATAAATATAAAATACAATATATCATATATTATACTATGTTATAAATTTTATATATTTATATTTAAATTATTATCAATATAAATATAAATATAAGATATATACTATATAGCCCAGGAGTTATCAAATACAGAAACTATAAACTTCTTAACTTCCCAAGGAGGTTATCAAACACAGAAACCATAAACTTCTTAAGTAACTTTTAATTTACAGTTCTTCAGGAACTGCCAACTTACAGTTCATGAACTTGCTTCCAGTTATCAAACAGACCCTTAAAATAAGTTTTCTCTAAACATACTTTGAAACTCAAGTTTCTCTATGAATTAGTTCGGAAAAATTACATATAGACTTAAAACTTTTATCGGAAATTATGGTTTTGTCCATACTTTTTGATATTTTATACAAGGTCCCTCTTTTGTTATCAATTTTTTTTCTTCTAGTCTCTAGTCCGATCTTGCAAATGTCATATCAGTTTTTTAATTTTTATTATTTATTTATTATTATTTTTATATTGTAAGATTCAACGAATATCAGACCAACTATTTTCCTAGGTTGTCTGATATTGGAAATTTCGGAACCCTATCATCTCACATGACAGGCATGAATAAGGCGGTGTGATGTCTTAAACCTCAGACCATTTTAAGTAACCAAAAAAGAAAAGATTGGGCGGTCCAATATTTCTAACATGGATCTGCTAAGAGATATTCTACTCCTCGGAAGAATAATATCTATTTAGTCCCTCAAGTAAAACCCCACCTAGGATTAATTTTGGGCTCCAAATTTTAGAAATAAAACCTTTGTTTTTTTGGGCGAGTTAGTGGGGAGAGGGCCCTACCCTTGGCAGGAATTGATCAGCAGGAAGAGGGCCCTACCCTTAGTAAGAATTGAGCTCAAGACGAAATGTTGCAAATCGCCAAGCGCAAACCAATTAAACCGATACACTTTTCCTAAGACATAGATTAACCTCAATAAAAAAGATTTTCTGATTGCTCCCTCTGAACACTTGAAAAATAGTGTTTCAAGATTGAATAGAAACCGTCCAACTTTGAAAAAGTGAGATCTAATCGTTAAAAAATTCCATTTTTAAAATTTTTATTTTGATAATAATCATCAAGAGATTCTTAAGTGGTTCCCAAAAATTTTAGATTGAAAAATCCCCCCTGGTCATCTAACCGTGGGACTAGAACTTGACTATGCTCCCGAGCATATATGCCCTCTTTGATATTTACGCACTCAAGCACAAGGAGAGGAGATCAATCATTTTAGTTTGCGTGGAACCAAGATGCGTGCGAGCGACGAGAGGAGTATTGGTGCTCACAAGTGGAACCCACCCGTCCCAAAAGCCCAGCGCCCACCATCCCGCGCCCCGGTCTGCCCCGCCCCGCTCTTTTTCTCGTTTCCCAGAAGTCGATCACCAATTTAAAGAATATTCATTAATCCAAACCCAATCTTTCTACTGATTGGTGATTGAAATAAATGAGATTTTTGAGCGGTTCGATGTGAACATCGTACCATATTTTTTTTTTTTTTTTACGGCTTGCCGTGGTTTGATGTTTTATAACATCAAACCACCCTCCATATCCACCAGGTTGGAAAATAAGTCGCTTCATTGTTTCAAATATCAGATTATCTGAAAATGAGTCCGTTCTCATAAAAGTTAAAAAAAGTAAGAAATCAAAATAAAAAACCAGTCCAATGTTTACAACATAGAACCAGTAGTAAAATTAGAATACACAGAAAATGATGAGAACAAGACATCTTAGAGTACAATATAAAAAAACATGGACCTCCGATCAAAGTTTCGGGTGTTTATTCATGAAAGCATGAATCAAATTTGAGATATAGTATTGCTGACTTCAGCTGCTAACCACTCAACTCCAAGCCAGATTCCTTAGATTCCTTTATTGATGTTAGCCCATAGTTGGAAATAGTGCATCTGAATTGAGGTCTGATAAGACTCCAGATTGGTATTGGAAGTGTAAAGGAGGAAATTCTCCTGCAGGAGCATAGGAAGTGAAATAAGCGCCCCAAACATATTTGACCGTTGGGCACCACTTTCGTAATTTATCTTTATAATCAAGGCTACTTTAGTCACTTTATATTTGAATATATTAAAAAGGTACTGATTCTTAGTGGCCCATTAGCGGGAACGCCTTTTGAATGGAGAGTCCCCGTCAATCGAGAGCGAGAGCCTTGAGAACCATTTGTTGTGATTTTTAGGGTTTTTGTTTTCTGCAACACTTTGTATAATCGTAGAGTATTAATACGTGTACAGTCAACTCAATCCATGGCATCTACGATGATCCCACTTCCCCTGTTACCGTTCTCCGAAAGGTGTTTCTTCTTGGTGAAAACCGCTTCCTTCTCTACAACTACACCTGGTGCTCTCCTTTTTCTCATCATTCCTGAAAAGGAAGATTACAAGGTAGGGTTTGTACTTTTCTTTTCATTAACTTATTTTGGTCAATTTAAACTGGAATTTGCTGCTTCCTTTTCACTATTGAGTTGCCCTTTCCTTTTTTTTATCCTTTTTCAGGAGTGGAAATTGATTGAGTAGTGAAGATGGTAGGGTTTCATGAGTCTAGAGGGATTTAGGTTTCTGAGAATTTGTTCAGGTAATTATGAGCTCAATAGTGTGTGAATATGTTTGCATTTGGGAGAAGTATGCTATATATTGGGGTAGTTTGGCTCCATCACTTTGCTAAATTTTGTTTTTTCTGTTGTATTTATCATGTAAACGCAAGTGGTTGGCTAAATTTGCATCCTCAAAGTGAGACAATTTTGTGGTTTTTAAGCAGTGAAATGACGTTTTTGAGGTCTCCATGCTAAAATATTGTTCACCTGTGTGTGTTTTGTCTTTGATTTTTGGGGAAGATTTTACAATGGATGTAATCTATACCATAGGAGGCATTGATTTTGCAGGTTTAATGCTTTAACCATTTACTTTGGTAGATTGAATTTGGAATTCTCCAATGCTGACAACACTCTTTTCAAGGTTCCAATCTCCAACTTGTTCTGAACTAATTTCACTGTTCTCTACCTCTTTAAAATTACTGTTCTCTACCTCTTTTAACATTCTTTTAACGATTGGAATTTCATTTTTGCAATCTTATTCTTGGTTGTGTAGTTTGAAGGAATCCCGCACTGGTTATTATGGGCTTATTCTCACCATTTTGTTGGTAACTCATAGATAATATATAGCTAGGAAACTTGGATGTTGAAGCATCCCTATGTCAACACTTTTGCGGATTTGATGGTAACTCAGTTTAATAATAGAACTTCAAAACCAAGCTGAATTGAGATGAAGTCTCATAATAAGTTATATTTGTCACTGGAGCCTAGCCATGTCCTTGATGTCCTGATCCTTCTTGTATTTATTTGCTCTTCAAACTAAGTTTTTGCTATCTATAAAAAGGAGATTTTTTTGGTTCGATCAGTAGAACACCGACTTGTTTATCATTGGTAAGCAATAAGTTTGACTTCTCATATGGGTGAATCAATTTGCTGAGTCATGGCTACATGATTGAAGTTGATTCATGTCTCAAGTAAGTGAACCCACTGAATTATAGGGTATGAATTTGTAGTTTGGGTACGTATGTTGTATGAATAACTATGTGAAAAAAAAGTATGCATCAGAAAAAAAAAAGAAAAAGAAAAGAGAGTGAGAGAGAAAAGGAAGATGGGTTCTTGCTAACCACAGAAAATGTTCTCTCTTGGGTAATGATAATCCCTGATTTTGGCCAATGGCAGTATGTGTTAGTAATGTGGGATCATTATTCATTTGAACTTGTAGGCTCTTCTTTATGTTCTGGCTATAGAGAAAGTGATGCATACTTGTGTTTTCTAGATGTTAAACTTAGATGTTTCCATAAGTTTGTTGAGGTCTGGAGGGTGCTTGTTCTTTTCTTGCAGAGAGAAATATCAGGAGGAAATTGTACAAAGCGAAAGAGAAATAACAATAAACAAGCGTAAAGCATGTCAGTTTATGGCGTCAATTGTAGATGGTTGCATCTACGCTTTATTATGAGATCGATGATAATATTTGAAATTTTCAGCATGTCTTATTCCACTTCATTTGAAGGTACCACAAGATTTATACGTAGAACATATCTTTAATATTTGTCATCCTTCTTGTTGAGAAACTAGCAGCTTGGTAATACACATCCATTGGAGTGCACAAATTATGCCACTTTTATGTGTTTAGGTTTATAAAATAGTACCGAACTGGATGTTATCATGTGTGCTTCCTTCTCTTTACATCTTTTAGCCAATTGGAGTAGCTTACTTTGCTTCATAAGGTACGATTTGCCCTTGTTGGAATGTATTTATTGTACTATACTTCTTTTGGAGGTACATTAAAGTTGGATTGTTGCAAATTCATTGGCATCTTTATTGCCCTAAAATTGTTGTGTGAGTTTCTCTCTCTCTCTCTGTGCATATATATATATATATATATATATATATATATATACTAA